CAAAAGTAATAATCATCATCATAATAGCAGCCATAAAGCAGAAGAAATCTCTAAGTCTGTACTCTCAATATAGTCAAATATATCCAAACAATTAGTTGATGATATGAAAAAGGATCTTTATTCAGCAACCAATTGATAAACCAGAAGTAGGATTGAAAAGAGGTAATGGACAGAATAATTCATTTAAAAGGACAATCATCTCAATAAAAGTTAGTGAGGTATTGGAGAAAGGTAAGAAAATAACCAAATGACATAAAGTAGAAAATGAAAAAGGTCAGAAAGAAAATATGTGGCAGTGAAAAACAAAGACAGGAAAATATTTGTATCATCAAACACCTTACAAACAATAGAATGGGGCTAATATTTTAAAATGATAATCCAAGAAAACCCACTATATGCAGCAGGGGAGTGCTAAAGGATACTGAGAAAAATTAAACCAGGTGAAATTTAAAAACCAGGATTAAAATTACTCTTTTGATTAAAAAAAAAAAGGTACAAGTACAAAGGTGACTACTATAACAAAACATGCAAAACTGCCCCAATTTTTAAAATGTTTAAATAAAATAGCAACGAATATACATCTCATTATTAGAGAAGCATAGCAAATATACCAAAATATATACATACTTAAAAATATTATGATAAATCAAGACCAAACTTATCAATTGTAACCATAAATGTGAATGATCTTAATTCACCTAGTAAAGAAAAAAAGATTTCCATTTGGATCCCATTCTACAAGACACACAACTAAAACAAAATGATTTGGAGAGATTAAAAATAAAGGGAGAGACAGAATCATACCAGGCAAACAAAAACAGAAAGAGAGCAGAGGCTGCCAATCTTGATATTAGACTAAGCAGAATTCAAGTTCAAAAGCATTACATGTGAAAAAAGCAGTCTTTTATTTTAAAAACCACAATCCATAACGAAAAGCTATCGCCTATGAAAAACTGTACAACAGATAACATGGCAACCCATTTTATGAAGCAAAAATGAAAGGAAATAAAAGGAACAATATATAGAAACACACCTATAATAACAGATTTTAATACACCACTTTGTTTCTTCCTATTTTTTTGAAAGCAGGATTTATCGAGAGGACAGAGAAGCTTCCACAGTGGGAGGGGACCCGAGGGGGTTGCCCTAATATACCACTTTCATTACAAGAGACATCAAGAGGACAGAAAATAAGTTGGGAGACAGAAGACTCAAAGAGCAATAATCAACCGCGTAGGCCTTGTGAATCAAACTACATCATGGTGATCAGCAATATGCATTCCCCTTAAGTGTCCCCAGCACACCCAGAAAAACTAATTATATGTTAGGTCACACAGAAAACATCAATAACTTCCATAACATGGAAATATTACAAACACTTTCTAATCATAATACAATCAAGGTAGAGATTTAATTCAAAAAACAAAAAAGAAAGAAAAAAGCACAAAGGCACTTAAATCTGTAACGTAAAAATATTTCTATATAGCCAATCTTGGGTGAAAGGGAACATACAAACTGAAATTACAGAATTGATAAGAAATAATTACAAGGAAAACAATTCATGTCATAATCTATAGAAGACATTTAAAGCAGTGATCAGAGGAAAATTCATTGCACTAAATATGTTTAATGAGAAAAATGAAAGAATTTTAAAAATAGATGTTTCCAGTTTTTAAAAAAGTATAAAAAGAACAAAGTCAACCAAGAGAAAGTTTAATAATTTATAAAAGAAAGCAAAAGTTAATAAAAGAAAAAATCAATAGATCTAGTTCAAAATTCAAAATTTTGTGTTTAAAACATTTTTTCGAAAAAACAGACAAACCACTAGCTAACTTTAACTTGATCATGAAAAAATGAGAGAAATTACAAATCTGAGGGGGGGAGCTCCCCCAAACAGAATTTATTTATAGAAGATTGTGTACAGGAAGTTCTCAACATTGAGACGAGTTCTGTTCCCAGAGCATGTTCATAAGTCCATTTGTTGTAAGTCCAACAAAGTTGGCCCAGGTACCCAACTAACACAATCGGCTCTAAGGCACTGTATGTATTTAACAAGCTATTCTGATACCTGGTGAAGAGAAATAATACATTAAAAGGACATGCGTGTGCATTGCTGAAGCTTGTAACTTTAAGGTTTGTACGTAATGGACTTACTGTATTTATGTTGGTACTCTTCATTTGATGCAGTACACCTGTCGAGAGGCTATTTCCACTGCTCAAAACAGTTTTTGAACATCTCAGTTTTGATGCCTTTTAGTGCTTCTGCTGTTTTTTTTTGTTTCACCTCTTCCACGTAAGCAAAATGTTTCCCTCTGAGGACTTTTTTCATCCAGGGAAGCAAGAAAAAGTCGCTTGGGACAAGATTGGGTGAATAGGAAGGGTGGGGCAAGGTAGTCATGCCATATTTGGTCAAAAACTGCTGGACAAGTAGCATGGTGTGGGCAGGTTGTTTGTGTAAATCACCCATCATGAAATGGTCAAACACATTGAAAGAATCTCCAAAAAAAATTGCAGTGAAGCTGAATGCAGCCGTTCACAGCAGCGCTAGCTGGTACCCTGTGCTGATGGGTTCCCAGAATACTTTCCTACCGGGGAAAGTCTGTACCACAAGGTGCCCACCCTCCAAAAGACAATTCCAGTATTTGCTGGGTTCCCCCTCAGATTCAAAATAAAAATAAAAAGGGAAAATAACACTTGAAACAGAAAAAATTTAAAGTCTACTTCACAAAATTCTAGGTAAATAAGTTGAGAAACAAGTGAAATAGATAATTCTCTCAGAAGAATAAATTATTCATTTTGACCCCACTAGAGTTAACAAGCTTAAAGAAACCAATTTCCATGGAAGGAATAGAAAAAACTTATTAAGAAACTGCCCCCACAAAAAAGCACCAGGTCCAGATGGCTTCACAGGGGAATGCTATCAAGTTTTCAAATGCCAGATAATCCCAATGATTGCACAATATTGAAAAGGAAGAAACAATATTGTTATCTTTTTTCCTGCAAAGCAAGTATAATGCTAATACCTAATCATAGACAAATCAAAGAAATACAATTACAGAAAAGTATCATTAGGCATACTGAAGCAGAAATGCTAAACAAAATATTAGCAAACAGAATCTAACACCATATTAAGAAAATAACACACCATGGCTAAGTCGGATTTATTCCAGAAATGCAGAATGGCTTCAATATTAGGAAAATCATTAATATTCTATAGCAAACTGATAAAACAAGAGAAAAATTATAGAATCACAATCATACCTCTAATACACTTCATGCACTCATGATAAAACTCAAGAAAATAGAAACTTACAGTTACGTTTTTAACATCAGAATACAAACATATTTTATGTTATGATAATGTTTTCTATACCTTTCATAGACCCTCCAAATTAAACAGGCAGAGTACTCAAGATGAAACGCAAACACTGATCAATGAACCTAATTGTATTTATAAGGAATAACACAGCCAGATTATCATTGGGATAATTATTGGGATTATCTGGTATTTGAAGGAGGTGGGCATGCCAAGAACTAACCTGAACAACTTTGGAGAACATTAAGTTGACATAATCTACAGCTACCGTTAAAAAATAATTGCACAGAAATCCTGTAATCTACGTATTAAACATGTTTCTCACAGAGTATGGTTAGTAATTCTAAAATTACTCTATGTGTAGATTATAATTCAACCAGTAAGTATATATATTGCAGGTAATGAAAGCTGGATTTTTCACAATTAAAGAAAGAAATTACAAATAAAGAAATGCAAGGGGCAAAATGAACCAGATGGAATCAGAAAAATGAAGTACATATTACTATTTCCTAATCCTGTCTGTTGAAAAGTTCTGGTAACAATGACAGCTAGTAGCAATGACATCCCAGAAGCAATGAACATAGTTTTCAGTGCTGGACTTCTAATGGCATTTTCCAATAAAAGTAACCAGAACTCCTTGGAGAAGTAGTTAGTTTTACTGCTGTGGCAGGGAAAATACAAGATGAGACTGAACCATCTTGTGATTTCAGAAAGTTAGAAAGTACAGAAAGACAGGGGGCTTATATGAAAATGCAGGTGCCAACCTAAAGGGGCTTCTAGTGCTCAAACCTGGAACAATTTGAGCAAAAAAAAAATTTGTAATATTGGATTTTAATCAATATATGTGTGTATGTGTGTGTAATATAGTGTATGTAATATAAATATCCATTAGTCCATACTGACATAAATAAATAAACAAAAAAATGGCAGTACTAGTACACAGAATTCCAATTAATAAATGCAAAAGGAAAGAGTGAAACAGAAAATCACCATAGGCAAAAACATCAGTTGCAGACAAGAACTGCTGATGGATGCTAAAATTAATCAACTAAAGTTTGAGAAGAAACAGTATTTGCATAGTCACAAAGCATCTCCTTAAGGATATTTATTAACTACAAAGGGAAGATGGTAAGTTCAGAATGGAGAAAGCTGTCAGGCACCAACATGGGCTAAGTCATATTCAACATTATCAACCTTTGATAGGATGCACTGAGGATACAACATTAATTCAGTGACATTCTTGTCAAAAATGCATAACCTCATTCCAGTTATGAGAAAACATCAGGCAAACCCAGACGGGAGGATATTCAAAACATAACCAGTCGATACTCTTCAAAAATGTCAAGGTCATGAAAGACAAGGAAAGACAGAAACTACTACACAGGAGAGGACACTCCAGAATGTCAAGTGACAATTAAGTAGATGTAGTGCCCTAGAATGAATCCTGGAACAGAAAAGGAACATTCATGGAAAAGTAAGTGAAATTCAAATACAATCTGAAACTTAGTTGATAGCGTTGTGCCGATGTTAGCTTCCTGGTTTTGATAAATGTCCCAGGGTTACTTAACATGTTAAAATGCGAGAATTTGGATGAGAAGCATAAGAGAAGCCTGTACTATTTTTGCAACACATCTATAGTTAAAACAATGAGTTGGAATGAAAAGTGTTTTAAAAGTTTTATTACCTCTTCCATCATATTTTTCCATTTCAAATTTCCAAAAAGAGGTGCTAATGCTAAAGCTCTACTTTCTTCCAATTGTTTAAGCAGAGTTATATAAGCACGTTCAATCTCCTTTTTATTCTGCAAAATTAAGGAAAATCAGGTAAAATGTTATAAATAAAATATGCAATTATTTTCAACTATAGAAAATCAGATATTTAAGATACAATTATGCTACAATATAAATATATATTCTAAGTTAAAAAATTACATTCATGTAATTGCAGATGTTCAGCAAAGTTTTTAAAGTCTTCCAAACTGTTTTGTCTTGACAAGTTAATTTTGGCCGAAAATATAGTACATTTTCGTCTTAACAGCTTCATAAAGGTAAAATTAACATAACACAAAATTCACTCACTTTAAATGTACAAGTCAATGGCTTTTAGTAAGTTTACTGACTTTGTAACCATGATCATAATCTAATTTTAGAACATTTCCAACACCTGCCCACAAAAACATTATGCCTTTTTAATGCAATATATTTTAACAAATTTATTTCAAACATCACATGAATAAAAGGTACCTATCACCAAACCCCAGACAATGTCAATATGCACTGCATTTTTATTGTATTTCACCTAGTCGTCTAATTGATTTTTTTTAAAAACTTCTTTAAGGTAAATGTTTGACAAATTAGTAAATACATTATTTTACCAGAAATAAAGTTCTTCACCAAAAAAGAAAGTTCTTAAGGAAAGATTAGGCAGGACGTTTGTAGGGCACTTTTAAAACTCAGATTCAGAAATTGGTGTAACAGAATAAAATGAGACAATTGATAACAGTGTTTCCTCCCAATCTGGAAATGAATTCCAGGGCTATTTCTGCTCACAGTAGGCAACCAGAGTTGGAAATAGCTTAATGCTAGGAGAACAGTCATGCGTCACATAGAAACATTTCTGTCAAAGACAGACAACACATAAGATGGCGGTCCCATAAGATTATAATGGTGCTGAAAAATTCCTATCCTAGTGAGACCAAAGTCATCTTAAAGTCTGTGCAACGCAAGACTCATGTGCTTGTGGTGATGCTGGTGTAATCAAACCCACTGCACTACCAGTCATGTAGAGCATAGCACGTACAATGGTGTGCAGTACATAATACTTGATAATGTTACAAATACGTTACTGGCTTATGTATTTACTGAACTATATTTTAAAATATTATTTTAGAGCATACTCCTTCTACTTATATATTTGTTAAAAACTTAACTGTAAAGCAACCCCAGGCAGGTCCTTTGGGACGTATTCCTGAAGAAAGCTTTGTCATGATAGGAAGTGACAGTTCCCATATGTGTTACTTCCCCTGAAGACCTCCCAGTTGGACAAGATGTGGAGACGGAAGACAGTAATGCTGGTGGTCCTGATGTTGTAGTCCTAGGCTAATGTATGTGCTCGTGTCTTCGTTTTTAACACAAAAGTTTAAAAGGTAATAAAACATTTAAAAATAGAAAAAAGCGGACAGAATAAGTATAAAAAAATAAAACATTTTTGTACAGCTGTGCAATGTGCTTGTGTTTTAAGCTAAGTGTCATTACAAGAGTCAAAAAGTTTTAAAATCAGTAAGTGTATAAAAGTAAAAAAAGTTACAGTAAGCTAAAACTAAGTTACTAAGACAAAAACCATTTTGTGCAAATTTAGTGTAGCCTAAGTGTCCAGTGTTTATAAAGTCTACAGCAGTGCACAGAAATGTCTCAGTCTCGCCCAGAGTAACTTCCAGTCCTGCAAGCTCCATTCGTGGTAAGTGCCTTAGACACGTGTACCATCTAAAACAAATCTTTTATATCATATTTTCATTGTACCCTTTCTATGCTTAGATATACAAACATCATTGTGTCACAACTGCCTTCAGTATTCAGTACAGAAATATGTTGTGCAGGAGTATATCCCAGGATCAATGGGCTATACCATACAGCCTGGGTGTACAGGCTATGCCATCTAGGTCTGCACAAGTACATTCTAGGACATTCGCGCAACAGTGAAATCACTTAGCAATGCATTTCTCAGACTATATCCCTACCATTAAGTGATGCATGACTGCACTCACTAAAGCAATATAAACAATCTTATTGTTTCATGACAACCGTGAGGATATTTCCAAATTCATAAGAGTTTGACACAGTTCTCAAAGAGTGACAAATGTTAATTGACTCAGAAAATATTTTGATGAAATATAGAATAGTCTTCATATTCAGAATTCACTAGGAGTAGTGAAAAATAAACAGAAACTACATTTATTTGTAATATCAATATGCATTTTGACTCCCCAAATTTTAACACAGTAATTATCAAATATACTTATTCAGCAAAATAATTAAGACGATGGCATTAGAAATCTAAAAACGGAAACTTCTCTTATTAACTACTTAATATTAGGAAATAAACTTATATTAGTTATGTTTCTTCTTTATTATTTTCTCATTAAAGACCAATTTACCACACAGTGGTTAAGGACACAGGGGCTGGAGTCAGACTGCATCTTTTCAAATTCATGTTCTATTATTCATCTGTTGCTTCTGGTGAGCAGATTACTCATGATTCAAGCATCTAGTTCCTTATCCGGAATACACAGACAATACTAACACCTACCTCATGATGTTTTGAAGGTTAAGGAAAATTACTCCTGAGAAGCACCAAGCACAATATTATAACAATGCATGCTCAACAAAAGACTGTATTTGTGTTATCATTCTCAATTTATTATTATTTTATACCGATCTGTTAAACCTATGATAATTTCCGTAGAGAGTAGGAAAGAAAGCTGAACCGAGTAATTTAGTAAACTTCGGAACATTCTTGAAGAAAAGTGGTCTTTTAGGTATAAATTACCTGCTCGAAAAATTTGCGGTTTCTGTGCATGCTGGGAAGAAGGTACGCGTAAAGTCGAAGAATGCCAGATGCTTGCCCTGAGGAGAGCACAGCATTGATCTTCACTGCCCAAGACTGAATGATTAAAAAGTTGAACAGGTGCGTTTGCGCATCATTCAGGCCTTCGTCTGAAACTATCAGGAAATATGGGCAACTCTCCTCCAAGAAAATGTTCCACTCTCTTGATAAGCATCCAGAAAATTTAGTCTGAACATCAACAGTGGTGTTCTCCTGAAGATGAAGGATTAACGCAGTTCTCAAAGAAAGAAGTTCAGGGAAGTTGAAATATGCACACTCAGCATCCTGTGGAGGGAAGGTGAAGGATATTAGTTGGAGATGACGATTCAAGAGTTTAGTTGGTGATAACACATATCACTAAAGGCATTAAAGGAATAAAATCCAACACAGTCTTGCTCTGTCTGATAGTTGAGGGACAGACACTTAAACGTTGACTGCTATTTCAAACACACATGCCAAAAATTTAATTTGGACTTAAATGCATGTATGCCCTTCCATCAGGCAAATAACACTCAGAGTTTGTCACTCTTTTCCTTCCCTCTCTAATTCCTTTCTTCTCCAACCTCGCTTCAACAGAACAAAGTGTGTAAACCAAGTGTTGGACACAGTCATCAGAATCGGGATGCTGAGGCGAGCTACTGTGTTCTAAGGGAGTGTCCCGGGCCACTGCAACACTCCTTACACAGCGCAGGTTTGTCTCAGCAGACCAAAATTAGAGCAGTCAGCTAGATTGTAATCACTAGACCAGAAGCCTGACTTTTACTGAAAGTGCTGCTGGCAAGCATGAAGCAATGTTCAAAAATAGAACAATAATCTGGATTGCGAGATGATTAAACAGACCTACACCAAAACCCTTTACCTTTAGGGTTAGAGTTAGGAAGGGTGGTAGTGGATATGCATATCTGTATTTGAAATTGTTAATAAAGTATATTCATAATTTAAAAAAAGTAAGCCAAAACCAATATTCTCTTGGAGGTAATTACTTAGAGCAGACCATAACAAAGCAGTGCTAGTGAGTTTGTCTGGGCTCAGATATATTTTCTTCTGGGCTCACATACATTGTCTCTGAGTTTTGACGATAGGAGTAGTTGTCAGAGTGGGAGGATCCAGAGACCAGCTAGGCCACTACTGAGGAGTTTTCTCATTCTCTTTCATGATACTACATGTCCTTACAATAAAGTCCCACTAGTGCAAATGAAAACAGCCTTAAGTGTGGCACTTTCTGAATACTAAGATTGTAAGTAATTTCTTTCTCTTCTTCCCTTTGAGTTTTTTGAACTTTTATGGATATAATCTACTTTGTAATAAGAAAAAAACTATATTATTTCTAAAATAATTTAAGAAAGTTTAGTTTTAGTTCTCAAATTATGGGGAAAAAACTCAACTGTCATCTGTTACCTTGAAGAAAACTATGGCAAATTGTCCTCCTTTACTAGTAAGGTCCACAAGATAGCGTTCAACCAGATAGAAAAAATGAAGATTCTGCCCCAGTTTTAATGATATATCACATATGCATGTGATAAGTAGTGAATCTCCATCAATCAAAAAAAATTCAGATTCAACAAAATCGTTGAATAAACTGGAGTATCTACAATGAAGAACAAAAATCATGATGCATTAAATAATGTTAGAGAAAAGCAACATTGTTATTATTATCTCATTATCATCAATAGCTAGATCTACTGAGTAACTGCTTTATGGGAGCATCTATGCGAAGACTTTGCTAAGACAGCCACATGCCCAGAAAGAAGGCAGCATCTTTCCATTTTATAGGTGAGAAGACTTAGACTTGGAGATGGAGAGAGCAAATTATCCAAGGTCGTAAGACAGAGTTTGGATTGAATCAGGATTCCGATGCCTATATTCTGAATATAGACCTATGCTGTATTTCCTTTCTGCTTAATCAATCTTATCTCCTCATTGACAGTTATTGACAAATTAGGCAAGAGAAAACTGTACCCAACCACTATCAAACAGCTCTTAAAGATGAATAATCATATACATAAACAATAAACAGCATATATAATTACATACACTATTATATATTATATATACTATATTATATATGCTAATATTGCATATATTATACATATATACACACTAACATATAAAGACATACTGATATATACACACATATATACTATATACAGTTGACCCTTGAAAAGCATGGATTTGAACTGCACAGGGTCCACTTATGAACACAGTTTTTTCAACAAATGTATTGGAAAGTTTTGTGTAGATTTGTGACCAATTTGAAAAAAAAAAAAAACACAGAAAAATCCCACAGCCTACAAATATAAAAAAGAAAATGTTAAGTTAAGCATCGCCGGAGTGCATAAACTGTATGTAGATAGTTTATTTTATCATTTATTGCCACAAAATATATACAAATCTATTATAAAAAGTTAGAACTTATCAAAACATATGTACAAGCAGACCATATAAACACAGAAATGTAAACAAATGTAAAGATGCAGTATTAAACGATAACTGTATATAATTAACTGCAGTACAAACTGATCCACTGTAATAATTTTGTAGCCACTTCCTGTTGTGATTGCAGTGAAATCAAGTGTTGTGAGCACCTGCTTAGAATGACATGTGGTATTCATCATCCTTGAATGAGCAGTTCCTCTCCAACAAACTGCATACAGCAGTAAAAAGTGATCTCCCATGGTTTTCACATATTTTTCATCATATTTATTGAAATATGATAAGTCCTGAATAACACCATGGGACCTATGTGAAGTACCACCAGTGATGGCAGAAGTGCTCCCAAGAAGCAGAGGAAAGTCATGATATTACAAGGAAAAGTTGACTTACTTGAGATATATATAAATATATATTTGAGTTGGAGTCTCACTCTGTCACCCAGGCTGGAGTGCAGTGGCACGCTCATGGCCACTGCAGCCTCGACCTGCTAGGCTTAGGCAATCCTTCCGCCTCTGCCCTCCAAGTAGCTGGAACTATAGACGCACACACCATGCCCGGCTAACTACATATTTTAATTGAAGTCTGGAGCTGCTAACTCCCATTTCAAGATAAACAAATCTAGTGTAAGGACCATTGTTAAAAAAGAAAAGAAAGAAAGAAAAGGAAATGTGTGACGTAATCGCCGTAGCAGGCATAAAAAATTTGTGCTTTTTATGAAATACCTTTTTACCTCACATTGAAAATGCAGCTTTTATATGGATACAGGATTTATGAGGAAGGCATACCCACAGACACTAAAATGATTTGAGGAAAAGCAAAGTTATTATATGACAACTTAAAGCAAAAGAAAGGTGAAAGATCTAAAGCTGGATAATCTAATCCCAGCAAAGCATGGTTTGATAATTTTAGAAAGATATTTGGCTTTTAAAATGTCAAGATAACAAGAGAAGCAGTTTCTGTTGACTAAGAAGCAGAAGAAAATCATGGACGGGAAAGGATAGCTGCCTGAAAAGGTTTTTAACGCAAACAAAAGTGCCCTACTTTGGAAAAAAAAAAAAGGTCACAAAAGACATTCGTAAGAAAGAGAACTGAGTACCAGGATTTAAGGCAGAAAAGAGATAGTTAACTCTACTGTTTTGTGCAAATGCAGTCAGGTTTATGGTCAGGACTGTCCTTGTCTATAAAACTGCTAACCCCCAATTCCTGAAGAAAAAAGATAACACCAGCTGCCAGTCTTTTGGTTGTACAAAAAGAAGCCTGGTCAGTGAAAATCCTTTTTCTGGATGGGTTCCATCGATGCTTTGTCCTGAAGTCAGAAGTACTGGGTCAGTCAGTCTTTTGATATCAGCCAATGTCCCTAGCCATGCAGAACTCATGAGTTTAACACCAACATGTCAAAGTGGTCTACTTATCCCAAACGCAACATCTCTAATTCAACCTCTGGAGTGGGAGGGTCATAAAGACACTTAAGGCTTATTATACACATCATGCTATGGAAAGAATGGTCAATGCTGTGGCAGAAAACCCCAACAAAGAGAACATCATGAAAGTCTGGAAGGATTACACCATTAAAGATGCCATCATTGTTATGATCCACTTCCACTAAATATATTTTTGCTTTCTTATGATTTTTTTTTTTTTTTTTTGAGTTGGAGTCTCACCCCATTGCCCAGACTGGAGTGCAGTGGCACACTCACGGCCACCCCAGCGTCGACCTGTTGGGCTCTGGAAATCCTTCTGTCTCAGCCTTCCAAGTAGCTGAAATTTCAGGCATGCGCTACCATGCCCAGGTCATTTATTTTTATATATTGCAGAGATGAGGTCTCACAAAGTTGCATGGGCTGGTCTCAAACCCGCAAGCTCAGGCAGTCCACTCTCTTCGGCCTTCCAAAGTGCCTGGCCTCTCATGATTTTCTTAATAACATCTTCTTTTCTAGTTTACCTTATTGTAAGAATACAATATATAATATACGAAACATATAAAATATGTGTTAATTGACCTTATGCTATTGGTAAGGCTTCTGGTCAACAGTAAGCTATCAGTAGTTAAGTTTTTGGGGAATAAAAAGTTAAATGTGGATTTTCAACTGCATAGGGGTTCAGAGCCCCAATCTCCATGCTGTTCAATGGTCAACTGTATATATATGTATATATATGATATATATATACATGATATGTACATATATATGACATATACATATATATGATATATATATACATATATATCAGTATAAGGCAAAATATATACACAGGGAATATGATATATGATTTCACATCTCTATTACCATGATAATACTCACTCAGCTTTTGGCATTTCATCCAGAATTAATAGGGATATTTTCTCTAAAAGTGTTGTATGTTCTTCTAAATGGAAAAAAAAGAGAAAGAATGGATTATTTTTCAATCAGTCATTGTTAAAGGAACTAAAGGAGATATCATTTAGTTATTACCTGAGAAAGAAAAAACAATATTGCAGTTATTTTAATTCCATTAAATCTGTGTAGATTACAAAATTGTTTAATAATCTATAAATATTTAAAACTGAGAATTACCCATTTTTGCCTGTGCCTCCAACCTGAACGGCAAGTATCAAAGATAGCAAATATCCTTTACTTTGGTACCTCTAAATGGTAATTATTAAGGAAAATGGCAGATCTGCAAAAAAAAAAAAAACAAACAGAAAAATAAAAGTCTTCATGCAACAAATATGTATTAAATGACTACTGTGTGAAAAGCAAAATATTGCGCATCAGAGATACAAGGATAAAAAAGTCAACATGCTATCAGCTCTTGTAGATGTAAAATCTATCAAGACAGACAGTTATTAATCAGATAATCATATAAACAATAGAAAATTACAAATATTACAAAGTCCAGAAGTCCAAGGAAGTTTCCCTAAAGAAATAATGCTTGAGTTGAATTCTAAGACTCAAACAAGAACTAACTAAGCAAAAAAGGGAAAAAGTAGCATTTCTGGCAAAAGGAATACCAGAATGTAAACGTTCTGGGGCACGAAAGATTGTGCGTGGAACTAGGTTCCAGAAAGAAGCCAATAGGACCGAAATAGACAGAGCAGGGTTAGCCATGCAAGAGGGCATGTAGAGGCTTTGAGGGTGTGTCATAGAATGTTGTCTTCACCCTAGGGTCAAAGACGATGGGTTTTAAGTAGATGGCATGATGATTGGCCTTTCATTTTGAAAAGATTAATACACCCACAATACTGAAATAGATAGAATGAGAGCAAACTTTTCGCCAGTAGAGCAGAGAGAAAACCGCTGCGCAGGAAAGTAATGATGACACTTGGTAAAAATGTAGTTTGATGATAGTTTGATGATAGTTAGAGATAATAAAGCTGGAGAGATGTGGATCTATTTGAAGGAGACAATCTGGTGATGGGTTAGATGTGATGGACAGGAGAGGGCACTCGAGATTCCAGCTCGTGGAACAGGATGGATGACTAGGCCATGGGAACCTTGGAACAAGGCCCCATGGCAGGAAAAGATCGTAAATGCCTTTGCGGACAACCTGAGTGCGATGTGCTTTAAGATTTACCATGGTTCCAGATGCCATCACAAATACGAGGTCTGGGCTAGATTTGAGTATGTGAGTCATTTGAGTATTAATGGCGAGGGCTCTTGGTGTAGATGAGCATGCTTGAGACAGGGAGAGGTAGCATCATGGGCGGAGAGAAGAGTACTGAAAATCCACGTTTGAGGATTACTCTTATTTGACATATGGCAGCAGAGAGGAGGAAGTCTGCAAAGGGAACTGAGAAGCAACTAAGGAGACAGAAGAAAACCAAACATTGAGACATTTGCCTTTCGGTGTGCTACAGTGGTGAAACAGAAACACAAGGTAGATAGATTCCTCTTCCGTGACATTAAGGAATATATAATGGTGATGTGCATGCTGATATTAAATATTGCAACAATAATGTTAGGACGTATATGACTGCAAAAAGAAACACGTTTAAAGAAAGGAAATTGCTGTGACCTGGTACGTTTAGGGACACTTAATGGCGACAGGAGCATAAGCATGGTCTCTCACACCCCCAGCTACTGTCTTACTTCGAAGATTATAGAACATCCACTCTTCACCAAGCATTGTACTTGCTACAACACATGCAAATATGCACGAGGCATGGCTCTCTTCCCTTACAGCCTGGTGGAGGTCTAAAGAGAATTAAGTCAAGCATTACAGCTTCATGTGCTGAGTGTTCCAGCAGAAATGGCACAGAGAGTCATCAGAGAGCTGAGAAGTTCTTCAATCAGACCGAAGGGATCCAGGTTCTGTGTTTCGAGCTTTCAAGGACAAGTCGAAAAAGTGATGAAAAATTATGGAGACATGTTGGAAAAAGTGAGAGCTATAAAAGATTAAATTTCGGAGAAAATCAGCACCAGTCTAATACAGAAACTACATGACAAGCGTGAAATCCAGCAGGTGTTCTATACGGCAGAGCACAAGGTGACTAATTAGAGGTGAAGTTGGAAAGGCAAGAACCAGACTATAAAGGGTCTTGGTCCATGTAAGCAGCTTAGGCATTTTGTGAACAATTCTGGCCCCCATTTCATCAATTCTCCACCTCACTAACTGCACATGCACCAAACTGTCTTTCTTCAGTCCTCCAAACTATCCCAAGTCAAATGGAAAGTTGAGTCAGTGAGAACAAAACAGGAAGAGAAGATTAACTCCAAGTATGTTACAGAAGGAAAGAGAGCTTCAGAGAGAATAGTTTCAGTTTCTACCGGATGATATAAGTTAATGTACAGGTTCCCCAGGTATTCACCACAATGCCCTTAGAATCTCAAGAATCTAGCCGGGCTGGGTGGCTCAGCCTGTAATCCCACGCCTTTGGGAGGCTGAGGGGAAGGGATTGCCTGAGCCTGCGGGTTCGAGACCTGCCTAGGCAGCAGGACCTCATTGCTACAATAAATCAAAAAAATCAACCGGGTGTGGTAGCGCGTGCCTGCAATTCCAGCTACCTGGAAGGCTGAGGCGGAAGGATCGCCGGAGCCGAGCAGGTCGAGGCTGCGGTGACCGGGAGCGGCCACTGCCCTCCAGTCTGGTCGACGGAGTGAGACTCCAAATCAAAATAAATAAATAAATAATAGTAATAATATTAAAGTAAATAAATATAGGAAGCCACCTCATAGCTGGCATAACGAAATTTTAGGAAAGAAATAAGGGGAGAAAGCAGAAAGAATGAGGGGGCCTTACAAAGTCACACTCAGACGTGGCTTCACATCTCCAAGATAGGAGATGTGGGAAAATTTAGGCTTTGGCATTATTCCCAAGAAAGAGAAGGTCTCTGAGACTGTTGGTTTTATTTTTATTTTTTGTTTTTGTTTTTTTGAGTTGGAGTCTCCCTGGGTCGCCCAGACTGAAGGGCAGTGGCCGCTCCCGGCCACCGCAGCCTCACCTGCTGGGCTCCGGCGATCCTTCCGCCTCAGCCTTTCGCC